GCAGGGGAGGGCGAGCCGCGGATTCTGGCCGCGTGCCGCGGGTCGGCCGTGCAGCTGCACCCCCTCCCTCTTTCCCGCTTTCCCTGCCTCCCTCCCTCCCTCTTCCCCTGCCTCTTTTCCTGCCTCCCTCCCTCCCTCCCTGCCTCCCCTCCCCGCCCTGCCCTCCCCTGTGCCCTCCCCAGCTGCAGCTCCAGCGCCCCCCCAACCTGTAGCAGTAGTTGGGCGCGCTCCACACCGTCACCAGCTGGTCCTTGAACATCCACTTGTACCCCTCCATCACCAGCTGGTGGGCACGCGCGATCAGCTCAATCTGGGGGAGGGCGGGCAGGGGCGGGGGCGGGGCGTGGAGGGGCAGTGTGTGCAAGGCAAGAGGGGGGCGGCGTCATGGGCAGGCAGGGCCGGGGCGCGTGGGGCAGCGGAGGCAAGGCGAGAGGGAGGCGGCGTCATGGGCGAGCGCGCGGCGGCCGTGCGACGTGAGCCGCGCCCCCGGGGCGTGCGCAAGCCCTCCCCGCCCTCGCCCACCCGTTCCCGCAGGCCACGCACCGCCGCCGCGCAAGCCAGCCCGCCAGCAGCCCGCCTGGCCCGGCCACAAAACAGCCAAACACGAAACAAACCCACAGTCACCCGGCCAAGGCCAGGCCAGGCAAAGCAAGGCAGGCCACGCAGCACCAGAGGGCGCACCCCATTGGCGTGGCAGAACTGGGAGGCGATGTCGTGGCCAAACAGGTATCCTGCGCCCCGAGGGCTCAGCCCCCACCCATCCACACCGTCCTCAGGGTCGCTCCAGAGCAGGTCGCACATGGCGCCGTCGTGCGGCACCTGCGGGGCCAGGGCAGGGCAGGGCGGGGCGGCTGGCTTGGCGCCGGAGGCGCGGCGCGGCGTGGCGGCGCGGCCGGTAGCGCGCGCTCTGGTGCGTGAATGTGTGGGTGATGGTGCTGGTGTGGGTGGGGTGGCGGCGGCACGCATTGTCGCAGCCCGGCCACAGCCCGACGCCCGCACAGCCCGGCGCAGCGAGCACCAGCCCAGCACCCGCCAAGGCCAGCTCAGCAACAGCGCCGAGGAGCATCACACACACACGCCCACTGGCGCCCATCCCACACAGACAACGTCACCCCCTGCCCCCCCCACCCCCACCTCCTGCTTGCGGTCGATGGTGCGGATCTGGTCCAGGCCCGTGATGGTGGGGGACAGGCCGCCGTGCACGCAGAAGATGGTGCCTGCAGAGACGGGAGAGCGTACAACGTGTATAAACATGGGGGGAGTGAGAGAAAGAGCCGCAGAGAGAGAGAAAAGGTTGGCAGCTGTGTCTGCTTCGCCGCAATGCGCTGAGGTGTGCACGGCCTCGCATGCTGCACCTCTGCTTCTACGTGCCAGGCCTGGCCAAGGCAGGGCAGGCGGCGCGCCAGGGCAGGCCGATGCAGGGCAGGCCGCACGCCAGGGCAGCCTCAGCGACGCTGGGCAGGCCCAGCCGACTGCACGCCCAGCCAAGCCGGGCCAGGGTTCTGCCATGGGGTGGCGGGGCTGCACAAGCGCGCAGTCACACACAGAAAACCCGCCAACTGTTTGGCGGTACCGCACCGTCGATGAGGGCCGACAGCGAGAGGTAGTCAAATACGTCGGTACAGTATCGCCAGACGTTGACCGACCCGTACTTGCGCAGGCACTCGTCATAGAAGCCGTACACCTGCGGGACGGCGGTACAGGGCAGGGGGTGGTGCCGCGGCACAGCAGGGCGAGCCAGGGAGCAGTGGGGAGCAGCATGCAGAACGGCACGAGAGCAGTGGTGGTGCCCAATGGGCAGTGGTGGGTGGGCAGGGGCAGGGGCAGCAGGGCACAGCAGGTGGTAGCCACAGCATTCAGAGGGTGTGCAGCTGCAGATGGTGAGGGGGCGGGGCCACGGGCCACGGCAGCAGGCCGCCAGCAGCAGCTGCGCAAAGCCTGGCAGCAGGCTGAAGCGGCGCCAGGCAGCAGCTTGTGGCGGTTGATGCCCCCGCTGCGGCGCTGCCAGCCTCTCCCCTCCCCCCCCCCACCACCACACACACACACACACCTGCGTGATCTGCCGGCTCTCGTGGTTGCCGCGGATGAGGGTGATGCGCTCGGGGTAACGCACCTACGCAACCGGCGGGGTGGAAAGCAAGCGGTCGAGTCGGATCGCACTCCCGCAGCCGTCGAGGCCGGCCACCGCTCGCCAGCCATCCAGGGGAGGCTGCAACCGCGCTTCCACCACGCGCTGCGCCCGCCCAGCCCCGGCACTCCTGCTGCACTGGCTCCACACCGCAGCCGCCGCGCGGCCGACAGCGGCTGCCCCGCTGGGAACCCGCGCTGCTTGTGCAGCTGCTGCCAGGCAGCGAGGCATGGGCCCCTGCAGCTGCCGCCAAGCCCTCCCGCGAGGCGTGAGCCCTCGCAGCAGCAGCCCCGCCCTGTCGCTGCCCACCTTGAGTGCCAGCAGCAGCAGGAAGGTCTCCACCGAGTAGAAGCCTCTGTCCACAAAGTCCCCCATGAACAGGTAGTTGGTCTGTGTGGGGGGAGGCGCGTGTGTGTGTGTGGGAGGCGTGGGGTGTATGTGTGGGGGAGGGGCAGCAGGGGTGAGAGGCGCCCTGGTGGCCCCCAGCCCTCCCCTGCCCACCACGTGCCGCACCGCCAGCCGAATAGACACATGCTCGTGTGCCACAACGTGCCGTCACCAAAAGGGCGGCAGGCGGGCGGCGCGGGCGTGGGGCGCACCTGCGGGCAGTCGCCCCCGACCTTGAACAGTTCTGTCAGGTCGTAGAACTGGCCGTGGATGTCGCCGCCTGCAGGGGCGGGCGGCCCAGAAGGCCAGCAGCGGCAGGGGGCAGGCTCAGGGGTGCGTTCCGTTCTTCATGCCTGCGGCCACTCCCGCCCCATGCATGCACTCAAGCCGGGCCTGCACACGCCGCTGCCGCTGCCTGGCATCCCAGACGCCCCCCCGCTGCTGCAGCCCAGCCAGCGCAGCCGCCGCCACGCGCGGCGAGCGCAGCAGCGCAGCAGGCGCAGCGGCATGGGCGCGGGGCACCGGCGCGGCGCGCTCCCACGCACGGCCCAGGCTGCTGCGGCTTACAGATCGTCACGGGGGCATCCACCCGCTGCACATTAGCCTCCTCCACCAGGATCTCAACCGCCTTCTCGCACAGCAGCTTCACATCGCTCTCCTTCAGCGGCTCGCAGCGCTTGAGCTGCAGGCAGGGCGGCGGCGGCCGGGGCGGTGAGAGCGGCGGGCGTGCCTGCTGCGGTGCATTGCTCGGCTGTGGTCACGTGGATTCAGGCCAAGGCCCGCGCAGGGCCTCCTGCCACTGGCTGGGTGCCAGCCAGAACCCCTGGGTTGGCCAGCGGGCGTCGCCCGGGCGGCGGCGGGTAGGCAGCGGGTGGGGATGGCGGCCCTGATGGCCCGGTCCCGGTTCCCTCAGCCACTCGCCTGCTCAATCCACTTGTCCAGCTCCATCCCTAGCCGCCTTCCCGCTGCTCACTGCCCGCGGGGGCGGGCGTCGCTGCAGACCGGTCGCCCGCCCTGCTGCCGCTGTACTCCAGTCCTTCCCAACTCAAGCAGGGTGCGCGGCGGGGCGAGCCGCCGCAGGCTTGGCTCCTGATTCCAACTTTGGGCGCAGCCTCTGAGTTGACCGGGCTGTGCGGCAATCAGGGAGTGGCTTCAGCAATTCAAGCAAGGTGGCCGGGCGTGGAGGGCAAGGGGTGCCGGGGCCGTGCTGCGATGGGGCACAGCACGTTCGTTGCCGGCCTTAGACGGTTTCGGCGGGTGCCCACACATGTGCAATTGCAAAACGAACACCCCATGGGGCGATTGCAAGCGGTCACAGACCGCACAGCACTGCTCACCGATGCGGCTGTGTCAGCAGAAGCCATTTTTCGGGCGGTGGCGGCCCTGGAAGCCCAGGCCGACATCGTCTCAATGGCAGGTGGGATGGGACCGCAGCAGGGCGGCCCAAGAGAAGGGTTATCAGAAGCATGGGCGCTGTGGCGGCTGCGCCGCCAGCTGCGAATCGCGCAGGCGGCTCAGCCTGGCCCGCCGCAGCAAACTGACCCCCTTGCTCGCACCACGCAACAGGGAGCCCCGTGAACCCGCTGTACATCAATGAGGCTGACAGCCTGCTGTTCCTCACCACCACACGGACCGCACTGCTTGTCGGCTCCACCCACGGCCACGGCATCATCATTTCCAGGTGTGCGGTGCTGCACGGGCTCCAGCTGCCCAGCTGCCGCCGCTTCCAGCTGTCACCTGGCGTCACATGCTGCGTTGCAGGCTGCCCAGCGAGCACCCCTCGCTGATCCGCTGGAGCGCCCCCTGCTTCGTCACCCTCCGCCTGCGCAGCTACGGCCTCAGCGTGGGCCGCCTGACCACCCATTCCTTCGTGCCTTGCATGACGCCCGTCCTGCGGCAGCTGCTGAGCCAGCGAGGCGCGCGGGATGTGGCTGGGCTGGAGGCCAGCCTCAACTTCGGAGGACTGCAGCACAAGGCGGACCTCATAGCGGCGGCAACCGACGACGTGGGCACAGGTGCAGGCCTGCCGCCTTCCTGGGCTGGGTGGGGGCCTGGGGCGCCTGCCCTGCCGGGGCCAGCGCCAGTGCCAGTGCCAGCTCACGCCGCTGCGACCCTCTCCCGCTGCGCACGCCTCCCCGGCCGCCGCAGTGGGCATCAACCGCACCTCTGGCACGCTGCTGGACCTCAGCTTTGTGAGGGGCAGCCTGCAGGTGGACACAGCCAGCAACAGCCTGGTGTACGGGCCAGGTGTGTGCCGTGTGGATGGCAAGCACACGTGGCGCGTCAACGCTAGCGGCTCCCTCCTGCCGTGGCTCACATGCCGGCACAGGCAAGCACCCTGGCCCACCCGCCGCCTCCCCCTGCCTGCTGCCCATGATGCAGGCGTGACACCGGGGCAGGTGCTGCACGGGGGGGTGGAGGCGCCGCGCGAGATGGCGCCGCTGTTTGGCCTCCTCAACTCCATTCTAGCACCGTGGAGCGGGTGACGCCCGCGGCGCGGGTCAGCGCCTCTCTGGAGCGCTACACCTCGGG